GATTTTTCACAAAAAAATCGACTGCCTTACGTTTAGTTCTGGGACTAAACGTCAGGCAGTCGAAAAATCTCAAAATGCCGTGCTTGTGTTTGAAACTTGTCGAACAGTATTATTTTGGTCTTTATTGCATTCCCCTTGTTGTATTAATTGAAATTACGGTTGTTTCGACGATTTTTAAAGAAAAAATTCGACTGCCTGACGTTTAGACACTCCGTTTTTGAAAACTCTCTAAAGCCATTACAAGGTATTGTGGTAAGTTGGAAAAACCTGCAGCAGCATATTCCATATATATATATAATATATGTTGAAAGAGGGGTACTGTCATTCAGACTAGAAGCTTTTTTTTATTTGTCGGTTTAAAATCTTTAACATTTGTGTTCATTTCTTGTACCTTTGCTAATGTGGTCTGTTGATGGACCMGTATTTGAAACAGGTGTTGGACCCACGTTTCTCGTCCAATCAAAGACGTCAGTCCAGTCTTGGTACCATAAAGACCAACACGCATCTTGATTGAAGTTACATCTGTACCTTTCACATTGCTGACCAATAGAATCATCAGGACAGTAGCAATGTCCCGTGTTGTTCAAGCAGTATACATGACCATCGTTATAGCAATGCTGATCTCGACAGGATTCTATTACAAGAAGTAAGTAGAGGATAGTCCTACCTCRTTATGATGTTGAGATGATATAGCAAACGCATGCGACAATTCAGTCACATCACGGTGATTTATGCTTAATTTTCCCTGCTAATATACAGCAATTTMAGAAGATAGTGAGTTTCCAAGATTGCAATGCATTGTAAAGCAGTCAGGTTTAGAATTGTAATTTTTCATGAACGATGCTCAAAAAATCTTATCAATGCATCAGGAGGAGCGACCGGGTCTGTTCTTCTAAACAACTGTWTTGTACGAGTTTTTCCTGGGAAAGGGAGTTTGAGAATCTCACAAGCAAATGAATCGTGCCTCCTCCTTTTATTTTTTTTTTCTGGCAAACATTTTTAAGGTCAAAAAAGGCTTAAATAACGTTTTTATGGTCGAAACGGCTTACATTTTTTAGGTTAGGAGCATTTATAACAGTCTGCTCACTTTAGATGGGGATGATATATGAATACAACATAGTAAGAATTATATACTTGAAATGCTGCAGGTCTCATTGGCAATAGAGACGTCATCGATAGCAATTTCTTCTCGACTAAATACACTCTTGCTAGCAATACCCTCGATTATTATCTGAAAAAGATAAACTGGTTAAAGTTTAGAAATATAATTAGGAGGTCCGCGATAGAGTGATCATAAGGATCAACTATGCAATTATATAAACATAATTTCCATTAAAGTGCATATATTAAAGTATCAATTAGTTCAAACAATTTCGCGTATTTGGTTACCATAGCAACACATCATTTTTAAATTATCGTATTTCAAAAAAAAATTCAAAGCGCGCGTTCTTCACAGTGAATTTTTTTGTAAACTTGCTAAATGAAAGAATTTGCTTTACCTCAAAAGTATCTTTGGAATCCCAATGACAGAATTTCAGAAATAACGTTCGGAATTTGCTTCGTTATACGATTAAATAAAATCTGTCATTGAGAGCGGCTCTATTTTTTGCATGACAATTTGTCATAAGGAGGCTAAAATAATTAAAAAGCAGGAAATCTGTTGTTGACAATGATGAACAAGTGAGTCAAAATGTAAATCGTATAAATATGACATGAATGTTTGTTTTTGTTTTTGTTTTTACAATTAATGAGATACACACTATTATTGTCCTTTCCAAATCCAGCAATTTAAAGGGTCTTTTTATTCCATAACCAATTCCAATTTTTTATTTTTAAAATAGTATAATATCATGAATGAAGTATTTTGAAGTTTTTGTTTTTAGCATATTCTCGATAATGAGAACTTATGTATGAGCATGTTGAGCCGCGAGTGCACAATAGTTAATCGTTCTTATATCGAGAGGTAGAAATGCCATCCGTTGTTCGTGGTCTGATTAAACTAGGTCACCTGAAATTGTCCGTCACTTTTCAAGGTGACTTTTCCTTCAAGCCATCGATTAAGGCCACTCTGTATTTTTCTAGACCAAACAACAGTATGCTGACCAGATTTGTTCATCAGGATGTTCAAGGTATTTATATTTCTCCCATACATATGATACCAAAATGTAAAACATGAATGCTTTGTGGCAGGGAGGATCTTGCTTATCAAGCGAGCTCTATCGCCAAGTCGTGTGTAGATAGGMAGAAGGAAGTAGTAGGATCCTGATCCTATTGGAGAAGGTTCATTGTCAAGTGTATGAGTTAGTAGGTCAATTGTGAGAATGCCCAGTGGTAATTGTTGTTATCATGCAAATACYWAAGTTGTTTGAAAGTATAGCAAACTGAATTAAGCATTTTTTTGAAACCCACAAATCCCATTACTTTACCTCTGAGGCGCCTTAGCTTTTACCTTTGGTGTGATCTCTGAAAGGACCATTTCCTCCTCCACTGGGGGCTTGATAACGATACCAGTCAATATCATCTGTAGTGTCCTGATCCCACCAAGGACATAACCCTCCGTCAAAGCTACAGTTGTATGATACTAGAAGGATAAAAGCACGTGTTGTTTGATCGGTTTTCCTTGCTGAGTTGCTTCTGTTTGGAATTAGTATATATATTATGGTTTATCGTAATTACCAATTTAAACAGTGAACGGCTCACTATGGCTATAGTTCGCTCAAATATCATTCAGTCAAATGGGCCTCGACGTACTTGTGAATATTTGATTCAAAATGGCGGAAGAATACCGCATACCTGTACCTTTCACGCACAGGCAAGGTTAACAAAGTATTTGTACAGAAAAGACCAGGTAATGCRAAAGAATCAGAAAGTCATCTTTATCTTGCCGTAAGATCGAAGCGCCACATTTTTTATTTCTTTGAGTTTTTTCAATAGAAATAGCAGACTGAGCATTACCGAAGTTCATACTCACTCGTTCGTTGCGTTCACTCGCTCGTTCTCTTTGGTGGTGTTGCACCACTCATGAATGAAAATCGTTCGTGGCATTTTTCGCGGGGTAAACCTATATTTACCCAGCATCGACAACTTACAGAATTCACAATTTTTTCCAGAAGAACCACTGTGACAGTAACAGTATCCTGTGTTGTTCAAACAGTATGCGTTTCCGTTGTTGTAACAGGTCTGATCACGACAGGATTCTGAGAAAGAACGATAAATGTCATGTGAACGCTATAGTACTTAGAGGCTCTGCAGTGATTATCAGGAGGGAGTTGGGAGTACAGAGGGCGCATAGTCAGTGATTTCGAGCTGGACGATCACGTTGTAGACGTGAAGGCGCTCTATACATCACACTGCTTGGAGGGATGGGGGAATAGGAAGTAATGGGTCCAGGGCCCTTCTTTCTCCTTTAATCAAGGTTAGGACTTACGTGAAATAGAACACAATCCTTTGGTAAGAACAATATCGTCCATTGCGATGAAGCATTCCCTTCCACCGCCACGAATCCCCTCAAATATAATCTAAAATGAATGCCATTGTAATATATGTAATGTATGTCGTCATTTACTACAACTACCAGAGTGCTTTATAAACTTTGTTTTTTTGCAATTCGATTTCTTTTGACATATACTGTAAGTAAGAGTGGAAAATTGATAGTACCAATAAACCGCCAAACTGACAACGTACAAAAATTGTGGTACCAAACAAGCCAAAAAATAAGAAACCAACTAAAGGCAAAACAGGAGCTGGAAGCGGATGACCAGAAATGTTACGAATAACTGAATAACTTCGCGACAGAAAATATAAACTATTTAAGACTATGTGCCAAGTTTTTTTCCTTGTGTTTCAATTGTTCCTCCATTGTCTGTAACTTTCTTCGCTCCTCATTCAGCAGATTTTTTGCATAAGATTTGAGTTGTGCTTTTCTACCTCTGGATGCTTCCCAATATTTTTACAAAAGATTTAGTAAGACGTCAAGGGTACAGGTGGACAGTTCAGTCTGTTATGTCTTTCCCGTAAATGGCATTTACTACAAAACGGTGTTTGAGGTGAGGTTGTTGAGCTTAAACCATTCGTTGCGACTTGAAATCTTCAATCATGACGTTTAACTTTCACACTTTCGTTGCTTGGGCTTTGAWGTTATTACTTTGAGAATTTAGGTATGAATCCAATGGACTAAAGTTTAATTGCTTTCTGCTAAGTGCTTTTTGCTTGACGCGTGAGTCTCAACCTGTACACGTGTTTTTGGACGCGGTTGTACTTGTTTCTGTTTCTCGCGCCAAGAGTCTTGTATCTTTGGCAGGTGCAGCTAAAAGGCGATTCACCTTCTTTTACCTTGATGTTATTCTACATTGTTCTTGATCAAAAGTAGACTTAACTAATTGTAGCATCTCCATACGAGACTTTTCATCGTCCCTTGATTAAAATATAATAATCCCCTTCGTCATTGAGATATTCTATAAGCAGCCTTTCAAGGAGATTATGGATCTTGGACTTGATGATTTGAACTTAGTCCAAGAAAATGATGCAGAGTTTATGCTGTATTGTGCAAATTTATGGAACAACTTTGAAATTTGGCACAATGATAGAGTGTCGCGCCCTGTGTAAAATTTGATGTGGAGGCACGGCAAAAAATACTTACAGTTTTACAGCCATGGAATTAATAAGAGTGATTAGTGACACTATGTAAACGAGTTGCCATTAAAACCCCCTGCCCTAATATGGTAGTTGCAGTATTATAACGACGGATTATATCTTACCTAATATTGACATAAAGTGAAGTATTTCTTTCGAGAAGGATTTCAAATATTGCACAATTACAGATGTATGCTGAATTACTCTTGGTATTGATTCGCACCTTGTACTTACAGTCTTATTAGACAAGGGATTTTTATAGGTATGTTTCAAATATGTTAAATTTGCACAATTTTGCGCCATTTTCCTGAACTATAAGATTGTTCTGCTTACAAGACTATACTTTAAAAAAAAAAATCCACTCTAGCACTTCCTGCACTGATGGTGTAATGTACTTTTAACTGAATATTCATGGAGAAGAACTCATGGCAGCCTATATGAAGCTATCCCTATGTAAGTCACGTGATAACTTTTAACCCATCACGTGATCAAAATTTTGATAGTTTTGATAGTAAAATAAACCATTTTTGAAATTACATTCCAAGTCATTTTATACTTTTAAGTTTAACAATATCCTCTGACCTATCGGAGTGCTATTTAGTACAATAATTAAAGCAACATTTTTAATTCCAACATTGAGGACTGTAACATATGAAGCCGACGGAGGGTTGCGAGATCGATTCATGAGAAACACAGCTCAGTCTATAAGATCAAAGCGTGGACTTACCAGGATTTCAAAGTCTACATAACTCAGTAAAAATATGTATTTACCGAAGTAATCCCCGGATTTCTCAGACTGACTTTTCCTTCCAGCCATCTATTTCCACTTGGTCCTTTTCTAGACCAAATATTCTTGAGGTGCCCTTGACGGTTTTCTAAGAGAACGCTTAAGCTACCAGTATCCCTGCCATGCATTTGATACCAGAATGAAAGACATCCATCTGTGATATTAAGGAATGTGCTTTTCAATCTGTTTGCTTCGGTCTTCACAGCGAACCCCGCGATGTACAAATAGTATCCCAAATCTGATAAAACGGAAAAGAGCTTTATGACAATATAATATAAATATATTTTCTTTCGTCTAGGAATATTCACCAATAATCACTTCGGCAAATAAATGTTAAGCATTACATGGACTTAGACTATGCTATGTTAAGCTTATATGGTGCTGTGTTGTTTGTTTTGTCTTAGGTTCATATTTAATTATGGAGCAGCATGCAGCTAATTATGCTGTAGCATGCATTATAAGAATATAGATTTGTACAAAGTTTGTAAACATTTCAATGAACGTTTGAAATCCTTTAAACAAATGCTTTTAATCGCTATACTATAAAAGAATAAGCAGACATTTTTTTCACTTGTTGAGTTTTGTGTAACAAGTAATACCTGCAATTTCTGGCTGTTTCTTTTTGGATGATGCAGCGCATGCGCATTCAAGTTCTTCTGAGCTCTTTTTCCCGCTAACAATAGTTAAACGGGGCGAGATAAAAGGGGTTTGGGAATGGACTAGCATAAGCCTGCATCAGTCACAAAATTAAAAAAAAAGAAATGCGCCAGATTCTCCACGCGCATATCTACGAAAATKTATACATAACACCGAAGCTATTTTTCAAACTTATAATTTAAGAATGAGCAGCCAGTAGAAACTTTGATCGCATAATAAGCAATTTTCAACGGATATACTACAACTAATAAATACCAATTGAAACTGGATTATGAATAAAGATGTTGCAAAGGCCATAGGAACAACTGATACTTACTGGAATCCTTTGTATCATTTGCCGAAGGACTGTGAATCCCTGATGGTCCTCGTTTGCGACTCCAGTCATGATTATCATTATATTTATCTTGATGCCATAAGGGTTGACATAGAGAGTTTTTGGTTTCGTCAAAGGTGCAGTTCAGATTTCCTTTGAAAGTATGATAGACAATGATGATAATAGACTATGTGCGTCAGTCATATCGTCATATTGGGATTTTATTACGCCATGTCCTCTTAATTGAACTGGGCACGGTAAGTTCCACGTAGTGGTTCTCGTTCAAAATTTAATTTTCCGTAAACAATGTGTTAGTGGCATGGATATCTATTGCATTGAGGTGCGTCATCATGTTTGCGATTGCCCTAAAACCCAGACCATGCATAGCAAATATAATATTTCTCAACGAATTTTAGCGAAATGGACAACATATTTGTTAATAATACTTGCTCTATTCAATAAATTAAAATCGATTTTTATTGATCAAAAGTTATCAAAGTTAACAGTGATGAATGCGAATTTTAACCTTAAGTTGTAAAAAGCTCAAAATGATTCAAAATCTGATTCTAGTGAGAAGTTCTAATCATATAAAATAGCTATATGTTTTTTTTTTTTTTTCATTTAACACCAATACCTTTTAGCTGTTGAACTCTGGAAATCCACCTTTTAAAACTGCTCACACGTACAAACACCATGTATTTCAAATTGGGACATAGAGCCCCTCTCCAACTTGTCACACCACGAAGGATCCACTGCCCCCCTTCATAACAGGATAAAGGTCCACCGGGGTCACCATAACATCCTACCTTTTTATCTGATCCAGCGCAAACCATGGTAGCAATATCATAGGTCAATTTCACGCCCCTTTCCTTTCCACAAATACTGTCATTTCCGATCTTTAGAGGAGCTTCTAGAAGAATTTTAGGATGACTTCTGTATTTATTGAAACTCCCCCAACCTTCAAATTTACGAAATAGATAAAAATCAATACAGTCCCGCTGCCTTGTCCATCTCATAGAGGAGTTTGGCATTTTTTCATGGACTCTTTTTGAGTAAGATGGACAATTCAAATAGGGGTGGCAAATAATAAAATCCGAGATCCGTCGAGACGCCGAGATCGCTTTTTTAAAATCCGAGATCGAGATGTTAAAAATTTCCAAATTCCGAGAAGCGAGATTAATGTTTTTATGTTCTTGTTTATCGAATTAACACGGAAAAAACATTTATTTAGAACAATTATGCATTGAAAAATTCTTATAAATCAACGCTCGAGAGCATGCCGACAAATCAAAATCCGAGATCTTGTTATAGAAATTCCGGGATCCGAGGCCAAAAAAAATTGGCCGGAAACACGAGATTCCGAGATCCTTTTTTTGGCAGTCCGAGATCTCGACATTCTACCAAAAATTGACGAGACCCAGTTATTTCTAGGTACCATTCGCCACCCCTTCATATTTTCCTGTCATTTTGATTATGTTTTAGGCTACATTACGTACTTTAGGACTACACAATATTTCTTTACTTGGTAATTAAACATCATTTTTTGGAACTTTATTCATCGCATAATGCTCTACTTTTAGAGGAAATAACGCATTGCTCTAAGAAATACTGTAAGAACTACGGTGGGCATGTTTTAGAATTCCAATAAGAAAATATTTGGAAAGACATCTTTATCCACCCTCCCTACTCCTCCTCCCCTCTCCCCACCTACAATATTATTGTACGTGACGTCATAACACTCGGGAATGAACAGAATGGAAAGATGGACACAAAATTGCTGGGGGGTGGAAGGGGGCATGAATTTCGTCGTATTGTCAAAATGATAAGTGACTTGTAGTTATGTGTTGCAATGTCCCAAGTAAAATGTCCATAGTTGTATTTAAGGAGAGCAGTGTAGTTCTAACTTCAAGCCTCTATCGCAAGTTTTCATCAGTTAGAGACCGTTGTTAGAATGGATACTTTTGAACCAAGGGAGATGGCCTCTAAAAAAAGCCAGGCAAAGGAATTTGAAAATTAGCAGTTACCTCGATAACATGYTTTTAGATAGGACATTTTGAGAAAATTTCGTCGGAAGATCAGATCATATTGGTCACTTTAGTTGATAGGATGTATTCAGGCAATAATACGTTTGTTGCAGCAATGATGGTGTAGCAAACGGACTGTATTGAGGGTAAATCAGTTATATTATTAACTCCTTAATAATGAGTGCTGATACCTTCTGCCACCTGGCACTCAACTCCCACCCCAAAGCATCTCGAAGTTGCAGCTGCACCACATCACARGCGGAACAGATCGAAATCTATTCAACTATTCAATATATCGAACATACATAACAAGCCATATGAGCTTACCTGTAATGTAACACGTTTTGCCTGCGTCGATTCTGTTTCCCTGACGAGGAAGTTTGATAGGTCTGATTTTACTGGTGATGTTTACTGTTTCGTTAAGTAATAAAAGTGCTACATCGTTTATAAGAGTATCAAATCGGTAGTGTTCATGAATCAACAGAAACGCAACACCAAGTGTCTTTTGAACGGGTTTTCTCGCTGACAACCTGAGCTCTCCTGAAAAATAGCAATAAATAGCAAATATGCAAAACACTATAGAGTCGAGTCGAGTAAACCTAACCCCAATGTAGTGTGGTGTGGTGTGGTGTGGTGTGGTGTGGTGTGGTGTGGTGTGGTGTGGTGTGGTGTGGTGTGGTGTGGTGTGGTGTGGTGTGGTGTGTGTGGTGTGGTGTGGTGTGGTGTGGTGTGGTGTGGTGTGGTGTGGTGTGGTGTGTGTGGTGTGGTGTGGTGTGGTGTGGTGTGGTGTGGTGTGGTGTGGTGTGGTGTGTGTGGTGTGGTGTGGTGTGGTGTGGTGTGGTGTGGTGTGGTGTGGTGTGGTGTGTGTGGTGTGGTGTGGTGTGGTGTGGTGTGGTGTGGTGTGGTGTGGTGTGGTGTGTGTGGTGTGGTGTGGTGTGGTGTGGTGTGGTGTGGTGTGGTGTGGTGTGGTGTGTGTGGTGTGGTGTGGTGTGGTGTGGTGTGGTGTGGTGTGGTGTGGTGTGGTGTGTGTGGTGTGGTGTGGTGTGGTGTGGTGTGGTGTGGTGTGGTGTGGTGTGGTGTGTGTGGTGTGGTGTGGTGTGGTGTGGTGTGGTGTGGTGTGGTGTGGTGTGGTGTGTGTGGTGTGGTGTGGTGTGGTGTGGTGTGGTGTGGTGTGGTGTGGTGTGGTGTGTGTGGTGTGGTGTGGTGTGGTGTGGTGTGGTGTGGTGTGGTGTGGTGTGGTGTGTGTGGTGTGGTGTGGTGTGGTGTGGTGTGGTGTGGTGTGGTGTGGTGTGGTGTGTGTGGTGTGGTGTGGTGTGGTGTGGTGTGGTGTGGTGTGGTGTGGTGTGGTGTGTGTGGTGTGGTGTGGTGTGGTGTGGTGTGGTGTGGTGTGGTGTGGTGTGGTGTGTGTGGTGTGGTGTGGTGTGGTGTGGTGTGGTGTGGTGTGGTGTGGTGTGGTGTGTGTGGTGTGGTGTGGTGTGGTGTGGTGTGGTGTGGTGTGGTGTGGTGTGGTGTGTGTGGTGTGGTGTGGTGTGGTGTGGTGTGGTGTGGTGTGGTGTGGTGTGGTGTGTGTGGTGTGGTGTGGTGTGGTGTGGTGTGGTGTGGTGTGGTGTGGTGTGGTGTGTGTGGTGTGGTGTGGTGTGGTGTGGTGTGGTGTGGTGTGGTGTGGTGTGGTGTGTGTGGTGTGGTGTGGTGTGGTGTGGTGTGGTGTGGTGTGGTGTGGTGTGGTGTGTGTGGTGTGGTGTGGTGTGGTGTGGTGTGGTGTGGTGTGGTGTGGTGTGGTGTGTGTGGTGTGGTGTGGTGTGGTGTGGTGTGGTGTGGTGTGGTGTGGTGTGGTGTGTGTGGTGTGGTGTGGTGTGGTGTGGTGTGGTGTGGTGTGGTGTGGTGTGGTGTGTGTGGTGTGGTGTGGTGTGGTGTGGTGTGGTGTGGTGTGGTGTGGTGTGGTGTGTGTGGTGTGGTGTGGTGTGGTGTGGTGTGGTGTGGTGTGGTGTGGTGTGGTGTGTGTGGTGTGGTGTGGTGTGGTGTGGTGTGGTGTGGTGTGGTGTGGTGTGGTGTGTGTGGTGTGGTGTGGTGTGGTGTGGTGTGGTGTGGTGTGGTGTGGTGTGGTGTGTGTGGTGTGGTGTGGTGTGGTGTGGTGTGGTGTGGTGTGGTGTGGTGTGGTGTGTGTGGTGTGGTGTGGTGTGGTGTGGTGTGGTGTGGTGTGGTGTGGTGTGGTGTGTGTGGTGTGGTGTGGTGTGGTGTGGTGTGGTGTGGTGTGGTGTGGTGTGGTGTGTGTGGTGTGGTGTGGTGTGGTGTGGTGTGGTGTGGTGTGGTGTGGTGTGGTGTGTGTGGTGTGGTGTGGTGTGGTGTGGTGTGGTGTGGTGTGGTGTGGTGTGGTGTGTGTGGTGTGGTGTGGTGTGGTGTGGTGTGGTGTGGTGTGGTGTGGTGTGGTGTGTGTGGTGTGGTGTGGTGTGGTGTGGTGTGGTGTGGTGTGGTGTGGTGTGGTGTGTGTGGTGTGGTGTGGTGTGGTGTGGTGTGGTGTGGTGTGGTGTGGTGTGGTGTGTGTGGTGTGGTGTGGTGTGGTGTGGTGTGGTGTGGTGTGGTGTGGTGTGGTGTGTGTGGTGTGGTGTGGTGTGGTGTGGTGTGGTGTGGTGTGGTGTGGTGTGGTGTGTGTGGTGTGGTGTGGTGTGGTGTGGTGTGGTGTGGTGTGGTGTGGTGTGGTGTGTGTGGTGTGGTGTGGTGTGGTGTGGTGTGGTGTGGTGTGGTGTGGTGTGGTGTGTGTGGTGTGGTGTGGTGTGGTGTGGTGTGGTGTGGTGTGGTGTGGTGTGGTGTGTGTGGTGTGGTGTGGTGTGGTGTGGTGTGGTGTGGTGTGGTGTGGTGTGGTGTGTGTGGTGTGGTGTGGTGTGGTGTGGTGTGGTGTGGTGTGGTGTGGTGTGGTGTGTGTGGTGTGGTGTGGTGTGGTGTGGTGTGGTGTGGTGTGGTGTGGTGTGGTGTGTGTGGTGTGGTGTGGTGTGGTGTGGTGTGGTGTGGTGTGGTGTGGTGTGGTGTGTGTGGTGTGGTGTGGTGTGGTGTGGTGTGGTGTGGTGTGGTGTGGTGTGGTGTGTGTGGTGTGGTGTGGTGTGGTGTGGTGTGGTGTGGTGTGGTGTGGTGTGGTGTGTGTGGTGTGGTGTGGTGTGGTGTGGTGTGGTGTGGTGTGGTGTGGTGTGGTGTGTGTGGTGTGGTGTGGTGTGGTGTGGTGTGGTGTGGTGTGGTGTGGTGTGGTGTGTGTGGTGTGGTGTGGTGTGGTGTGGTGTGGTGTGGTGTGGTGTGGTGTGGTGTGTGTGGTGTGGTGTGGTGTGGTGTGGTGTGGTGTGGTGTGGTGTGGTGTGGTGTGTGTGGTGTGGTGTGGTGTGGTGTGGTGTGGTGTGGTGTGGTGTGGTGTGGTGTGTGTGGTGTGGTGTGGTGTGGTGTGGTGTGGTGTGGTGTGGTGTGGTGTGGTGTGTGTGGTGTGGTGTGGTGTGGTGTGGTGTGGTGTGGTGTGGTGTGGTGTGGTGTGTGTGGTGTGGTGTGGTGTGGTGTGGTGTGGTGTGGTGTGGTGTGGTGTGGTGTGTGTGGTGTGGTGTGGTGTGGTGTGGTGTGGTGTGGTGTGGTGTGGTGTGGTGTGTGTGGTGTGGTGTGGTGTGGTGTGGTGTGGTGTGGTGTGGTGTGGTGTGGTGTGTGTGGTGTGGTGTGGTGTGGTGTGGTGTGGTGTGGTGTGGTGTGGTGTGGTGTGTGTGGTGTGGTGTGGTGTGGTGTGGTGTGGTGTGGTGTGGTGTGGTGTGGTGTGTGTGGTGTGGTGTGGTGTGGTGTGGTGTGGTGTGGTGTGGTGTGGTGTGGTGTGTGTGGTGTGGTGTGGTGTGGTGTGGTGTGGTGTGGTGTGGTGTGGTGTGGTGTGTGTGGTGTGGTGTGGTGTGGTGTGGTGTGGTGTGGTGTGGTGTGGTGTGGTGTGTGTGGTGTGGTGTGGTGTGGTGTGGTGTGGTGTGGTGTGGTGTGGTGTGGTGTGTGTGGTGTGGTGTGGTGTGGTGTGGTGTGGTGTGGTGTGGTGTGGTGTGGTGTGTGTGGTGTGGTGTGGTGTGGTGTGGTGTGGTGTGGTGTGGTGTGGTGTGGTGTGTGTGGTGTGGTGTGGTGTGGTGTGGTGTGGTGTGGTGTGGTGTGGTGTGGTGTGTGTGGTGTGGTGTGGTGTGGTGTGGTGTGGTGTGGTGTGGTGTGGTGTGGTGTGTGTGGTGTGGTGTGGTGTGGTGTGGTGTGGTGTGGTGTGGTGTGGTGTGGTGTGTGTGGTGTGGTGTGGTGTGGTGTGGTGTGGTGTGGTGTGGTGTGGTGTGGTGTGTGTGGTGTGGTGTGGTGTGGTGTGGTGTGGTGTGGTGTGGTGTGGTGTGGTGTGTGTGGTGTGGTGTGGTGTGGTGTGGTGTGGTGTGGTGTGGTGTGGTGTGGTGTGTGTGGTGTGGTGTGGTGTGGTGTGGTGTGGTGTGGTGTGGTGTGGTGTGGTGTGTGTGGTGTGGTGTGGTGTGGTGTGGTGTGGTGTGGTGTGGTGTGGTGTGGTGTGTGTGGTGTGGTGTGGTGTGGTGTGGTGTGGTGTGGTGTGGTGTGGTGTGGTGTGTGTGGTGTGGTGTGGTGTGGTGTGGTGTGGTGTGGTGTGGTGTGGTGTGGTGTGTGTGGTGTGGTGTGGTGTGGTGTGGTGTGGTGTGGTGTGGTGTGGTGTGGTGTGTGTGGTGTGGTGTGGTGTGGTGTGGTGTGGTGTGGTGTGGTGTGGTGTGGTGTGTGTGGTGTGGTGTGGTGTGGTGTGGTGTGGTGTGGTGTGGTGTGGTGTGGTGTGTGTGGTGTGGTGTGGTGTGGTGTGGTGTGGTGTGGTGTGGTGTGGTGTGGTGTGTGTGGTGTGGTGTGGTGTGGTGTGGTGTGGTGTGGTGTGGTGTGGTGTGGTGTGTGTGGTGTGGTGTGGTGTGGTGTGGTGTGGTGTGGTGTGGTGTGGTGTGGTGTGTGTGGTGTGGTGTGGTGTGGTGTGGTGTGGTGTGGTGTGGTGTGGTGTGGTGTGTGTGGTGTGGTGTGGTGTGGTGTGGTGTGGTGTGGTGTGGTGTGGTGTGGTGTGTGTGGTGTGGTGTGGTGTGGTGTGGTGTGGTGTGGTGTGGTGTGGTGTGGTGTGTGTGGTGTGGTGTGGTGTGGTGTGGTGTGGTGTGGTGTGGTGTGGTGTGGTGTGTGTGGTGTGGTGTGGTGTGGTGTGGTGTGGTGTGGTGTGGTGTGGTGTGGTGTGTGTGGTGTGGTGTGGTGTGGTGTGGTGTGGTGTGGTGTGGTGTGGTGTGGTGTGTGTGGTGTGGTGTGGTGTGGTGTGGTGTGGTGTGGTGTGGTGTGGTGTGGTGTGTGTGGTGTGGTGTGGTGTGGTGTGGTGTGGTGTGGTGTGGTGTGGTGTGGTGTGTGTGGTGTGGTGTGGTGTGGTGTGGTGTGGTGTGGTGTGGTGTGGTGTGGTGTGTGTGGTGTGGTGTGGTGTGGTGTGGTGTGGTGTGGTGTGGTGTGGTGTGGTGTGTGTGGTGTGGTGTGGTGTGGTGTGGTGTGGT